GCCAAAGTGCCTACCGTGGTTTGCTTAGTTACCCCCCTACTTCCAATCTTCTGATTGCAGTATTGCGTTCAGCATCAGTCTACCTTGGCATTTTTCAATTGCCTACGGTTGTGTTACATGGACTATGTGAACTGTGGTTGTTGTGGCTTTTTGTACGGCAGTGTGGGATGTTACAGAATGCTGATTTTCAGTCCACTAATGTACTCGAGAAAGTGGTCAGGGCCGCCATTATGAATTCAGTAAAAACTCGCCTGTACGGACGTTTTGATGTGCCCTGCGCGTGATTATTGGTGTTTTGGCGACAACACTTGATCTTTTACAAAACTCTGTCCCTAGTACTTACAATTTTGTTTTGCGTTTCCTAATATTCAAAATTTACCAAGCGTCAAGTTTCTTTTTTTTTAAAGAGTATATGTGAGAACGTGGTTGGTCGGCGGACGCGCAGTTTTTGGTTTGTTCATTGTGTGGGTGGTTGGAGGGTGCTTTAGTTTGGTTTGATCCTTGTGTGGGTGGTTGGAGGGTGCTTGAGTTTGGTTTGATCCTTGTGTTGGTGGTTGGCGGGCGCTGTGGTTTAGTTTCCTCTTTGTGGGCAGTTGGCAGGTGCTTTGGTTTGTTTTGCTCCTTGTCGGCGGGTGTGCTGGTGTAATTTTTGCTCCTTTATTTCTTCTATCAAACATCTATCGTTATTATCTCTCCTCCTTCTCCTCTTCGTGTGTTACTCTCTAGTGGCACTTCTAATCTTCGGAACTCAAGTGACCTAATTTTAAGTGCCATAAAAACTTTTTAAAACTAAAACGTGCGAGAAGAAGACAGAGCTCAGTTGGAGATGAAGTGGGGAAAAGGCGGTGGTGTTGGGTTGGACATACCCTCAGGAAGCTAATTAGCTGCGTAACAAAGAAAATGTTGGATTGGAATTCACAAGGTAACCGACAGGGGAGAGGAGGGGGGGGGGGGCTGGTCACGTGTACTTTGGAGAAGAAGCAACCTCAGTTATTACAAAGTTCTATCTGTGCTCAGTGTCTAGTTTTGAGAGATTTAAATCAAAGATTTTGAATTTCCCAACCTTCCAATGGGTTTTGCTATCACGAGATAATGGAAAGTGGCCTATGTTGTCGCTTTGAAGGACAAACGGTCTAATCCAGATTTCGGGGGTTTCCAGAAATCTTGACCTACTCAAAAGTGGGCATTGTCCTACCTTTAGGAGAAGTTTGGTTTGATTGCGAGTATAGTTGTTTGGTTATAGAGAAAACTCCTTGTCTTTTAAAGAAACTGAACAAGGGGCAAAAACTTAACCTTCGATTTTCTCAAAACAGCATTTTTCAGGATAACCCCCTTGTACTTAAAAGAAAGTGACCGTATCTTGGTCCGGAATGGGACAGGCAATGATGATGAGCGCCTAATATATTAATATGGTAGGGTATTATTATCCCTATCATAATAGTGGCAATTCTAAAAATAATAAAAGTTCCCGTTTATAACACCCTTCACGAAACACCATTCAACAAGAAGAAACAGTTTCATGAACATGACCGTAGTTGCTTATCCTTTTGTTTTTTTCTATTAGACTAGTTGAGGGAGCTTGCTACTGGTGGTTGGAGGGCGCTATATGTGGGCCGAAGTCCTTTTTCTTTTTCTTTTTCCCCTTTGTTTCTGCTGTGTGCTTGTGTTGCTTTTTATTCCCAGCACAAAATGGCCGTTATTGTGTGGATGTGCTTCTGTTTACTCAAACTCACTTCTCATACGGACTTGCTCTACCAAGTGCCGCAGCAAACCGTTGAGTTATTTTAGTAAAGCGTCGCCTTCGAACTATTATATTTTGTCCGAAATCCGTCTTTACTAAAAGTACTGTGCTTGAACGAGAAATGCCCCCCCTTTGGGAATGGCCTAAAGACACTGCAGTCAGTGGCACCGCCTCGGGGGTATTCTAGGCCATTCCCAAAGGGGGGGGGGGCATTCCTCGTTCAAGCACAGTACAATTGTAAATGGGCTGATTCATGTCACGCTCATAACTGTGCCTCATCTACAACAGGGAACTGCTGCTTTTTCTTTCCTAATCCTTACTATTGTCATTTTCCTCTACTTCTTTTGTATGTTTGTCACTCTTGTGACCCCGCTATATCCGGGGTGCCTTGATAGTTGAAGCAGACCTTGTGCTGTTGAAGCTAGAGAGGTGAGCAGAGTAAGTCTGATTCCATGTATAGACTTCTCTGTTGACACCCACCCCTTGGCGCTCATATGACCTTATGCAGTTTCGAACGCCGTAAAACCCTCCACTATTTTTAAAAAAATCTTTACTAAATTACACTTTGGACAAAATACTTCTGAGGCGACGAGAAGTTGAAGAAAGTTATTGACATTCTCCTGGTATTGAGGGGGACCTCCCAACAAAAAAAACCCCACACACACCGCTTGTTTTGAACGGTGCCAACTTTCTTCTCTGTGCTCCGAACAAAACATCACTACAGCAGCATCGTTCCCTTCTCAAAGACTGTTGAAATAGGCATTAAAACCACACACTTACTGATTTAGTAAGTAGTTTACCTACCTGTCTACCTACCCACCTACCTACCTACCTACCTACCTACCTACCTACCTACCTACCTACCTACTTACCTCATCATCTGCCCATACACGTATCCGCCAACTCACTCTCTCACTTTCTCTCTGTGGGTGGTTGGTGGGTGCTTTAGTGTTGTTTGCAACTTCTTTTCTATCAAATAAACATCTTCCTTTTCTCTCCTCCGTTTTTTGCAGCCCCTCTTATCTTCGGCCCTTATGACCTAATTTGTTGCAAGTGCCGTAAAACTCTCATTAAAGTTATTCACTCGCTTTCTCTCTCTTTCTTTCTCTCTCTCTATCTCTCTCTCTCTCTCTCTCTCTCTCTCTCTCTCTCTCTCTCTCCCACTCCCCCCTCTCTCTCTATCTCTCTCTTTCTCTCTCACTCTCTTTTTCTCTCACCCACTCATGCCCTCACCCAGCCATTCACTCACTCACCCTCTCTCTCACTCACTCACCCTATGTCTGACTCACTCACCCTCTGTCTCACTCACTCACCCTCTCTCTCACTCACTCACCCTCTGCCTCACTCACTCTCTCACTCGCCCAATTTTTCGTTTTGAGAATACAGCAGCGCTTTACCTCTTTGGCTTATCGACAGAAACGTTTCCGTTGTCTGTGTTTTTATCAGATAATAGTGTGCAGATTTTATTCATTTCTGCTTTTTACTCCTATGTCATCGTACAGCATAGTCTTCTTTCTATTATGACTTCATTTGTTAAGATTAAACATGTGGTAAGGCAGAAAGGCAATTAATGGTGTGTGTTTGTACTTTTATGTTAGTCGTTTTATCATTTCTTGCATTATCTAGTCTCGCCGTATCTTTTCTGGCTTCTTTTTTTCATCTCAGTTTACCGTGTCACTTGCATCTTGTCTTACTGACCGCATTATGTTTGGTCCTGATTAATCTTATCTTGACTCGTTTTATCATTTCTTGCATTATCTAGTATCGCTGTATCTTTTCTGGCTTCTTTTTTTCATCTCAGTTTACCGTGTCACTTGCATCTTGTCTTACTGACCGCATTATGTTTTGTCCTGATTAATCTTATCTCAACTCACTTGTGTTATTTTATCCTATCGTATCTCTTCTCAGTTTTTCTTTTCTCAGCGCGTGGTTGGAGGGCGTCACAAGTAGGTCCTACTTCTTTACTTTCCCTCTATTGTTTCTGTCTGCATGTCTTACTTTTTCCCAGCAGTTGATAACTATTCTTATGCTCTAGGCTTTCGTGGATGAGAGGTTAAGGTGTTGACCTCTCATTTAATAGGTCCCGGGTTCGAGTCCGGATAGCGACGAAAATTTTTCGTCTCTAAAATTGTCTCCTTTTACCTCCTCTCCTGCTCTCCATCAATATTCTTTCATCTGCTTTTGTCTCCACTTTCAGCCCCCATCCCCTCACCTTCTTTTCACCCGTCATCTGGGCTCCTGACTCTTTCTGCAGCCTTTCTACTGTTACTCTTTGTCTCCTTCTTACTGCTATCTTTCAGCCACACCCCTGATTTTCTGGTAGGAAAGATCTACACCTAGCCTTCTCGGACAAGGGCGAAAAACCTCAGAGGTCCTGTGTTCAAGTTACGTACGTTAGAGATCCCTTGGTGGTCCAAAATCGATAAGAGTAGGCTTCGGCTGCAAACCGGACAAAGTTCAAAATTTTCTATCGACTGAAAGTGTTTGGTGTGTCCCGCGCGCTCATATGACCTTATGTCGCATTTTCGAGCGCCGTAAAACACTTACCAGAAGAAGAAGAAATTCTTGTGCTAGTGTGCTTCTCTTTAACACTTAAACCTATGAACTATGAAACAGCTTTTCTCATTTTGTTTTGTTTCATCGTATTTGGTCGCTTTTAGGGACAAGCAGGCTTACCCAGATTTCGGGGGTTTCCAGAAATCGTGACTTACACCAAATCTGGGCATTGTCCTACCTATAGGAGAAGTTTGGTTTCATTGGTGTGTGAATTTGTTTGTTTATAGAGAAAGACTTTCCTTGTCTTTTAAAGAGACTGAATAAGGATCCAAAAACTTTGACTTTCATTTCTCAAAACAGCATTTATCGGTATAGCCCCCTTGTGCTTAAAAGCGACCATTTTGTCTCATCTCAATTTGTTTTTCTCATTTTACTTGATCTTTTCTAATTTTTTGTTTCATTACATGTTATCTTTTCTCTTTCACTTTTTTCTTCCATCTTATTTTGTTTTGAATTGTCTGATCTTTATCGATCTATGTCACCTCATCTTTCTTTGTCCTATCTTATTTTATCTAGTTTGTCATATCATAATGCATAATATGTTAGAGGGTAGGTTCTTCTTTTTTCCCCCTCTGTTTTCTCTGTCTGCCAGCCTTTTTTTTTTACAGTACTGAAATAAAAGAGTGTCTCCTGGCTGATCTCATAATCTCATAATCTCATCGTCTCATAATTCTTATCGTCTTATCTCATCTCGTCACATCAGAATGGGTCGCAAACGCAAGGCCATCAACCCGGAGGATGCCCTCAAGAGTAACCTTCCGCCGTGTCGCGTGTGCGAAGCGCCAGGCGCAGGGTTCCACTACGGTGCCAATACGTGCGAAGCTTGCAAGGTACGTTATAGGTTTTGATATGATAGTGTATCGATTTGGCCAAAATTAAAGCATAATCCGCAAGGGTGGCCTTTTAATTAAGGAGTTTCTTTTCACATTCGGATCGAAACACACATGTACGCAGGCACATATGCGTGTGCACGCATGTGCACACAGGCTCACACACACACACACACAGTCACGCTCACACATACACACATAAATGCTGACATGCTTATGTATCGAACTCCGTTATATATATACATATATTAGAATATATAAATAAGTGCTTACATTTTGGTTTTGACAATATTTTTTTTCTTTTTAAAATAATTTTCTCTTTTGGGTAGAGGTGATTAATTTGGTTCCTTCTGGCCTGTTTATAGTGTTTTACATATGAGGGAATGAACATCATTTTAACTCGTTGAACATCCTTTTCCCTTATTGAACCTTCTTTACCTCATTGAACATTTTTTTCCCTTGCTGAACATTCTTTCCCTCGTTGAACTTCTTTTTCCCCCCCCTTTGAAAATCATGTTTTCTTTATTGATCATGCGTTCCCCTTGTTGAACTTTCTCTCTCTCTCATTGAACTTGCCTTCCCCTCCTTGAACATCCTTTCCCTCATTGAATATGCTTTCTCGTCATTGAACTTCCTTTTCCGTCATTAAACATGCCTTTCCCTGGTCCTTAGGGCTTCTTCCACCGCAGTCTTCGACTGCACAGTGGCTACCGCTGTGAGGCTGGCAACAACTGCGTCATTGAACATGGCCGCGGCAAACTGTGCCAGCTGTGTCGCTACAAGAAGTGCATCTCTGTCGGGATGGCCAAAGAAGGTGGGTGTACTATACTGATATAAAGGCACGGAAAATGTATATTTACAGTTTGTGGGAACTCTAAAGCTTTGGAAGTCACCAAACTTTGGCAGCCATTTTCTCAAACTATACTTTGTGGGTGGTTGGCGGTTGCTCCCGTGTGGTTTGCTACTTCTTTCCTTTAAAAGATCTATCATCCTTATCTGCCCTTTTTCTTTTTTGTGTTTGTTACTCTCTTGTAACATCTCTAATATTCGGTACTTATATTATCGTATTGTGTTATAAGTTCCGTAAAACTCTTACTAAAACTAAAAAATGATACTTTGCCGTGTAATTTGTTGTTTCACATTATCCTGAAGTCACCTTTGTTTTGGTATCAATACATCAAGCTGCTTTTCTGTAAGTGATCTAGCTTCTGTGTCAGAGTCCTCTCATGTGTGCTGTTGTGTTCGTAACCGAAAGGTCGCGGCTTTAAACTCTGTTATGGCTCCAATGTTGTGGCTTTAGGAAAGGCACTTTACACAAATTTTCCTCACTTTACTCAAATGGGAATCAGTGCCCGACTGTCAGCAGCGAAAAATTTTGTTACGACGCTGAGAATGTCTGAAAGTACTTGGGTCTGCTGGGTTGGCAATATGTGTAAAGCACAAAGAGCATGCTGTAGAGCATGGATATGCATTTTTAATTATTATTATTATTATCGTTATTGTCATTATTATTATTATTATTATGTTTATCATATTATAATCATCATCATTGTTATCATTATTATTATTGGTATTATTATCATTATTATTTTTCTTATTATTTCTGTGATCACTATTGTTGTTATTATCATTTTTATTATTCTTATTACTGTAGCTGGAACACGTTTCACTTTGGATTTAGATGTCTTCTTTGTCTGTATCCCTCTACAGCTATCAAGACAGGCCGGTACACGTCGTCCAAACGAACAAATGATATCCTGGAGGTAAAGAGTCTGGAGAATAAACGGAAACTGGGCTTATTGGACAATGGTCTAGTGAACGACAATGGTTCTCTCCCTCCGACGTCTGTTCTACCCGGGCACGCTTTGACGAGCGGTGATGGGCTGTCGCCAGAGCTCACGACGTCTTTGTCGAGCGTCAGGGGCTTCACTTCTACTAGTGGGCTCAGTCACACAGCGAGAGTGATCAGTCAGGCTTTGTTGAACGAACTAAGCGAGACCTCGTCGAACGATGTCATCTCTCATAGTTACACTCCGCTGAATGGACTGAATCAGACTCTCTCGAGTTGTGCGTTAGGTAGTGCGCCCTTGAGAAAAGAAGGTCGACATTTGTCAATAGACCTGGACAGCCAGAGCTCTTTGGCCAGTGCAGCGGGTCAGAGCACCTCGTCCGACTCGGACCAGTTCTGCAGAGACGTCATTGCCTCCTCTTCAAATTCACTGTTCGGCCAAAACTCTGGAATCACAGGCACTTCCAGGCTAATTCAGAACCCCTTGACTGTATTCGCCAGCACAAAAAATACAAATTCTGTAAACGGAAATCCCTTGAAAGGGGACTTCAGTGCTGGGAGTGTTGTTCCTTGTGTTACATCATCGAATGGGAGAGAAATTGGAGCTCAGAATAACAACTTTCTGCCTAGTAATGGCTTACCATTGGCTGGTACCAACTTACCAGCTGACATAACCCAGGTCGATTCACAGCCAGACTTCTTACCTGTTGATTTTGACCAGCTTGTGCTGGACGGGTAAGCTTTACTTAACTCTTTTGGTACACAAGAGATTCCACAATTTTACGTGCCCGGGCATGAAGTGTGTTACCTTAAAATGTCTATAGTTCTGTCAAAAATTGATGGATTTGTTTGTTTGAACACTCAAACTATTTATAATTCATCAATTATCAACGCCTTTCACCCCTGGCAAAGTATAGGCCAAATACAAGCTCCTTCCATTTATCTCTATCCTGGGCCATCCGTCCTAGCTCGTTCCAAGTGAGCTTCATCTCTCTCATGTCCCTTTCCACACATCTCCTCCATGTCTCTCGTGGCCTACCCCTGCCTCGTGCTCCCTGTGGGTTCCATTGCAGTGACTGTCTTGTGATGTTTCCGCTGGGCTTTCTGAAGGTGTGTCCCATCCAAAGCCACTTTCTTTGTCCTATTTCTACTTCTATATCCTTTTGTCCTGTCCTTTGCCAAAGCTCTTCATTTCTTATTCTATCCTGCCACTTTGTAATTGGACAGAGAATAACAATTTTGATGAAAATACGTAGTTAATGTAGCACTGGACCTGGTGTAGATCTTAGGGTTGAGGAAATTAGTACTCCCAAAATGCCATTTAAGTGGTGAGCCTCTAAATCGTGGAGCCAAAATTGCCACTTAAGTGGCGAGCCAGAATCAAACAGCAAAAAAAGGCTCCTCACACAGCTATCTGGTAAATTTCAATTCCTTAAAAACTATTTGTTGAATTTTTAAGTAAAGTTTTAACTACTACGAAATCTTTATTAGGTGGAGTGACCACACGACCTAGTTTTTGGTCCTTTTTAGAGAAGATGGATAACTGAATTCAACCACCATGGATTTTATTTGAGTTTGTGAAGTGCCTAAACCAGCTGTCCCTAAGGTGTCCTATGTGGTTACTCAAACTAGAAATTGGCTGGTGATCATGAACGGCAAGTTCATGGCCTGCAGATGAAAGAGTCTCCCCTCACCCATTTTTGCATCCTTTTCCTTTGCGGCTGAGAACCCAGTCATACAAATCTGCTACTTTCGGGGTTTAAGGGTGCCACTGGTGGGTACTAGTTTACTCCTCCCCCTCTCCTTATTGTTCTGTTTATCAGTCTTGCTTGCATTATAGCACAAAAATGACTGTAAACATGTCCTCATGTTCTCACTGCAAGTCTGTGTTTAACCCTCCAAGTATCGGCTAATAAAGTGGCTGTGGCATTCTAGGGAATTTTAGGATTTATCTTATTGTGTTGGAAAATGCTTGAGAGCAGGCAAACTGAACAAGTAAAAGCCACAAACTTATATATTTTCAGAAAGCAGGATGTAAAAATAAGAAATAAAACTTATTTGTGAAGCAGTTGAATGTTTTGCAATATAAAAAAGGGGTAAACGAATCAAAACAGCGACTCAAATTACAACTGATTAAATTGACCCTGGCACCACAAAATGAAACTTATGGCTAATGTAATCGGCCGTCAACTCTAGGATGTCCTAAGTAAACTAAAACTATTTATGCTGTACAGCTCAAAGTTCATACCTTGTTTTTATCTCCCCCAGGCCTCCTCTTGTCTCCAGCCTTCCCCATCAGACCACAGCGCCATCACCAATAACCACATTATTAGACATATCCACCTCATCGGAGTTCCATCGCATCACACCGTCCCATCCCTCAGTAGTTACCTCCGCCAGACTGGCTGACAATTTTTTCAATGGAGAAAAGAACCACGTTGCAAAAGACAATCGGCTTTTCATAAATTCCACAAGTGCGGCCGAAGTCAGTCCATCCTTCCCGTTTCAAAAATCGCCTCTGGATCTTGGTGTGAATCAAAACCAGTTTGTGAACAGGACTCCTGGCCCTTTGCTTTCGGAAACAGCTGCTGGGTTAGTGACCTCTACTTCTGATAAGTCAAACAGTCAGCAGGTGAATGGAATTACCAATCAGCTCTCCTCTCAGATTTCGTTGTTAAACAATTCATTTTCAAGGACGTCCTCTTCAGCATCGCCGGGCCAGAAGTTGATGGCGCTGGAAGAAGTGCTCTCACCTTCATCAATAGTTTCCTCAGAATCTATGGGCGCTTCGTCACCAGACATGCTGATGTCACACGGGGTGGCAGGATTGGTATCTTCAGGGGCGGAGCAAACCTCACAGGGGAAGAAGCAAGGGTCGCTGGGGCCGGGGTCTGTGAAAGCATCTAGCCCCACCCCTGCCTCGGAGGCGGAGCTTCTGCACGCTTTCTGTGACACTTGTGGGTGTGGCCTTGATCACAGTAACATTGGCTTGCTGTACCGGCGGAGGGACGAGGTGATAGCGCGGCTGGCAGAGGCCCACGAGTCATTCATGGACCAGTGCTTTGGCCGGGTGGCCCCAGAGGATGTGGCTGCTCAGCAAAAAGAACACTATGTAAGTCTCTTTGCTTCAGTTGGTTCACTGTGCACTGTTTGTGTACACAGTTTTGTCTTCTTAAGCTTTGCATATCATCACTCGTTCATTCCTTATTTTGTGTATTTTTTATCTATCCTTCTACCCATTTGTATTTATATGGGTTATTGTCGGGTGTTCTAATGGGTTTGCTCCTTCTTTCCAATCTAACATCTCTCTTCCTTATCTCTCCTTCTTTTCTTTGTATGTTACTCTCTAGTAACAGCTCTTTGCACATGCCATAAAACTTCAACTAAATACTAACCGTGATGCTTATTAATTTCTATTTTTTAGCGCAACCCCCCCTTATTTTTCCATACCCTTCCTTTATTATTTTCCAGCTTGCCACAACCGATGATCATGTGAAATATATCTAATATCTAGATTCTAGATATCTGAATGAAACTTCTTTTTTTTTTTTTTGTAAATGGCAAATTACCCTCGGTATTAGCTACTTCAATTTTTTGTGCTTTTTTATAACTTTTGTACATTGGTTTATATTTTTTAATGAAACTAGTTTGTTCCTAAATGGGAAAAGTTGTCACAGTAACTTACTAAAATCACTAAAATTTCATGTCTCCTGTTCTTTTATTCCCTGAAGGAGAAATAAAACTGATTTGTTCCTACTTGTAGAAGGGAAGGTGTTTGAATGTGCCACCACCCCCATTTATTATTTTTGGACCACTTGTCCACCCCCCGCCCCCCTTTTATTCCTACACCCCCCGCCCCCCTTTTATTCCTACACCCCTCCCCCCCTTTTATTCCTACACCCCTCCCCCTTTTTATTCTACACCCCTCCCCCCCTTTTTATTCGATACCTTAGAGTATTGTAAGCAGAGGATGGTTGTTTACTGGTTCTTTTTTTTTTAACTTTTTGTTTTTGTTTTGTTTTTACTCTAATGAACAAATAATGAAAGCAGAGGATGATTGTTCCTGACTTTTATTTATTTATTAATATTTTTTTTACTCTAATGAACAAATAATGTATTACAGGAGCAGTGCAGGCTGAAACAGGAAGTATTTGGCAAACTGACGTCTCTGAATGACGCAGAGTACGACGAAATCTTCATCGAAACGGGTTTGGATGCGGATGATCGTCAAAAACGTATGGAAGGCTTGATTGATTCCATGGAGAAATTCATTAGGGGTCTGGTCCAGTTTGCGAAAGTCATTCCCGGTTTCAACATGTTGGATCTCAGCGAGAAGATCGGACTCATTAAATGTGAGTTTTATTTATTGAGTGTGCCTGTAAAAAAAAGTTACAGATTCAGTCTGTTCCTTATTTATAGATTTCTTCTGAAATTGTTGAATAAACAAGACTTTAATCTTTTGCAAACTAAACTTGTGGGTGGTTGGTGGGTGCTCTGGTGTGGTTACGTCCTTTCCAATCAAACATTTATCGTCCTTATCTCACCTCTTTCTTTTCTTTGTGTTAATATCTAATCATCTTTACTTATATAATCTATTTGTGTTGCAAATGCCGTAACGCTCTTGCAAAACTGAAACTATGACAAACTTTAATTTTCTCAGCAACTAGAATAGAATATTCCTTTGGTTCTGTCTATCAGTCTTGCTGTATTTTATTACCTAATACTCAATGTTAGTTAGTTTAGTAAGAGTGCTGACAACAGCATACGGTCACATGAGTGCGCAATCTTTGTTGGAACCTAATTTTTTTTTTTTTTTAAACTAACAAACCATCTGATCTATGAATCCACAGACTCCAGACAAGAGATCTGTGTCGCCTCTGCCACGGCGTATTTCGACTACGACCTTCGAGTGTTCAAGGGGGTGGACGGGAAGTGGAAGTGTGAGATGGACATGCTGTACCAGGTGTCGATCGCCCCATCCATGCTGGAGGAATTGTTTGAGTTCTTCCATTCCCTCCAGAACCTGGGACTTAACAAGGAGGAGATGGTACTGCTCAAGACCATCATTATTATGGCACCAGGTTTGTGTGTGTGTTAGATTTTTTTTTTTATTTGGGGATGGTGTGTAAATAATGGTAAAGTTTGCCATGCGTGTTTTTTCGCCAGCACATTTTTATTTTGATTTTACCCAAAGGTTGATATAATACCACTAAACAAAGTAATAAAAAGCTAGTTGCATATTGGCTCCACTCTGGGTTGGGCCATTTTGCTACAGTGACATAAGTTATAATGCAGCGTTGTGCCAAAATGCAACTACAGACTTAAACATAAGTTAAGGACCACCTTGACTGACAGTCCTGATTTTTTTTAAATCCGAAAAAAGATAGCAAGGTATGTTTCAATTTTTTTAATGCTGAAAGTGTTTATAGGTTAACAATACGTACGGCAAAGCTTCCTAAAGGGTCAAAACCACCCGTGCAGCACAGAAATCCTTGGGGAGTTTTAGCCAAACTTGATTTTTTTTATCGACTTGTGTGCGACACCATGGACATTCCTCAGTTAAAATTTCTTGTGCATGTGATAAACGGACATATGGTCTCGAACTGGTCTCGCAATATAAGCCGCCGTTTGCACAAAATCCAGTATTGCATCAACATGCCACCAAGACGAAAACTGAGAGATTTTGATCGTACCAGGGCTATGGCATGGCTACAGGGTGGAGTTGAAGCCCGAGAAGTTGCCAGAAGGCTAGCAGCGTCGCACTCTGTCCTTGTCCGTATGAGGCAGCGCCATCAAGCCACTAGATGAGTCCTGGACCTTTCAGCGCTGGCTGCATGCTGCCAACATCCGTGCCAGGCGTCCAATCAAGAAACCAAGGCTGACCGCAGGACACCAGGCAAGTCGTCTTGTTTGGTGCAGGGCCCATGAACCATGGACATGTGCCCAATGGGGCCATGTATTGTTCACAGATGAGCCACGATCGATGGTCAACCCAAAAGATGGACGCGCGCGTGTGTGTGGCGGCGTCCACGAGAACAGTTGATGCACCTTAATATGCAGGAGGTTACTCCTTTTGGTGGTGGCTCCATCATGGTATGGGGTGGGATTAGCACACACAATAGAACCCCCTTTACCATGTTGATGGTATTCTGAATGGCCAGCGGTACCTGCAAGAGATTCTACAGCCACTCGTCACAGCTGGTCTCTGGCACATTGGCCAACATGCAATACTCCAGACTCCAGGACAACAACGCCACCCCACATCGTTGCAGTGCAGTAAACACGTTCATCGGGCAAGTAGGGATAACAAGAATTCCATGGCCAGCCAACAGTTCCGGCTTCAACGCCATTGACAATGTTTGGGGGAAACTTGGCCGGAAAATCCAGCAGCACCAGCCACCACCAGCTAACCGACAAGAGCTGCTGCAGATCCTGCAGCAGAAGTGCGCAAACGTTCCTGAGGCCTTCATTGCCACCACCATCAACACCTCGAGGCGATGCTGCCTTGATTGCATTGCTCGGCGTGGTGGGCACTCCCGTTTTTTAACGGACTGTCGTGGACACTAATTCCTGGAATTTTCTTTTGAGGGGTACTGTTGTTCTGAGCGATATATTGCTTAAGTTTGTGACGTCATCATTCTGAAATTGATTGATTTTGTTAAGAAATGATTTTATTAACTATGTTTGAAATTTCAAATGTTTTGTTTTTCACCTATCTGTGCTGTGAGAGTGTTTGCAAGTGGTCCGTAACTTTTGTTGAAGTCTGTAGGTGATAAATAGTCTTCACAGGTTTTTTTCCCTTTATCTCAAAAATAGTAAAAATGAAATGTACCATTTTGCTGGTGCAGTGACGATATTTACAGATTACAATGATTTTGTCCTAGATGTCCTCCTGTCTAAGACAACCACTTTCCTCAACAGTGGGTGGCCAACCTGTACAATCTTGGGTGTATTTTCCATCAACTACCCTGTCTCGTTCTCTCCATCCACAGATTGTATCTTCCATCAATTACTCTGTCTCCTTCTCTCCATCCACTGATTGTATTTTCCATCAATTACCCTGTCTCCTTCTCTCCATCCACTGATTGTATTTTCCATCAATTACCCTGTCTCCTTCTCTCCATCCTCAGATCGAGACTCAGAGCCACAAATCTCCGCCCTGGGTCGGGAGGTTCACTGGCAGCTGGTCCAGACCCTGGTGTACCTGCTCGAAAAGCGGATGAAAAAGCCCATGGCCCAGTTTGCTCGCATCATTGACTGGCTGATGACGGCCCGCACGAAGGAGAAGTTGGTGCGCGAGTTTTTCAAATCCTTCAAGTTTGAGAAGTATTCGAGGCTAGGCCAGGCCCCTCTGCTCCGGGAGATGCTGTCGGGGATCTACTTTGACTTGAGTGATGACGAGAGTTGACGTTTCCTCTTTTCATTTAACTTGTGTTAATATCGATGGATTGGCAATGTCATGGACAGCACGAATACATTAATGAAACAGTGCACCAAAGCCACTGATTATCATAGTAAATGTTGGACATTGCACGTCAATCTCGGAGGCCTCCAAGGAAGAGAATACGTCCAACCAAGCTACATCGCTGGAGACTATATCAGACTCCAGTAGAATCAACCCAAGCGGTCACTCCTCCATAGTGGTCATCTGTATTAGCCGCCATCGTTCTGTGACACCCTTGGGTGGGTTTTCCTGTATTTTTAAACCTGTCCCTAGCGGTCCCCGTCCAGTGCGATCCTGGTCAGTCATTTTCATGACAAGTTGGCCTCAACCTCACAACGGTCACTTGCTACAAAAGTTGTCCGCCAACCCGTCCTCAGACTGAGTTTGTGCTTTCAGCCAGTGCAGAGAAGCAACTGGGCTTATTGCCTGGCTATGCGCTACATATGAAACAAAGGGGAGCGGAATTACTGCAGTGCTTACCCATCGACGTGTGAGTGCCCAATGAACTGAGCTCACATATTGCAGGACAGCTAGTAAAATTACACGCTGCTGTTGACCTCAGTAAACATCGAAAGAGCTACCGCCCCCTCCAATTGTCTGTTAATGTCATGATCCCGATTTCCACAAAACTGGTCAAATTAAGCCTTTGGAAATGACTGTAAAGTTAGACTATTGATGCATTTACAACGTAACAAAACGCTACCCTAGAATTACAAAGTACTGTCTGCTCAGTACGTAGGCCTACATAGTTTTTGAGAAATTTGACTTTTTAAAAATTCTGAGTTTCACAATATTATGTCAAGTTTTTACTAATGCAATTATTTTGATATCTTTATAACGACTCCGAATAATCTAACTTAGATTTAAGCGATGGATAGAGGGTGACACTGGTAGATGGTGCTTCTTTTCTTTAGGTCTATCTGTTTTGCTTCTTCCCAGCACCATATGACTATGATTATGTTGATGTTCTTCTCTTTACTCAAAACTGGAACTTGGTTTCAAGTTATAAGTCTGTAGTCCTTTAGCGTAGAGATGGATGGTATTTCTTTCTCAATATTTCTCAGTGAAATGTGATAAGGATATTTAGAACAAGTGAATTGCACCCTACCTGTCTGTTAAACCGAGAGTTGTGTTCAGAATGTGCAGTAATTGAAACTCAGCGTACAGATTTGGACATACACATGAAATGGAACCTGCTCTTTGCTGGTTCTATTTTTCCATGACAAAACTAGTTTCATTTTCTGGTTTTGAACTACTGGTGGAACTGATCTACTGCTGATTATTATTTTCATTTTCAAAAAGATAAATGTATTGGTATTTTATGATGCTTGTGTTGATAGTGCAGCACATGTGTTAGTCAAGACTGTTGATCCTCAGATTTGTCTCCTTTTCAGTCTCAAAGACAAAGCTTTCTGCCCTAAAATGGTGTAAGTTTCTTCCTTTGAGATACAGTGGAAACCTGATATAACAGGGATGGTGGGACCAGAGAAAAAGTCCTGTTATATCAGATCCCTGTTAAATCAGAAATGCAAGGGAAATAGGCATTTGTGGACTATTCCAGCTGTATAATTTATTCATGGCTAGTTTCCCTTCCCACAAGTACCCACGAACAGGGGTTTTGGCCCTGTGGCAGGCCTGCGCATGACACATTATGCCTACATCTAGCTAGGCTTAGGGCTAGATTGAAGTCTGCGACACACCACAGCCCTCTCTCGCTTCACCCGCTGCGTGTACTTGCTCCATCACTGGGTTACTCTGTCTCTCTCTCTCTCTGTCTCTCTCTCTCTCTTTCTCCCTCTCTCTCTCTCTCCCTCTCTCTCTCTCTCTCTCTCTCTCCCTCTCTCTCTCTCTTTCTCCCCCTCTCTCTCTCTTTCTCCCCCTCTTTCTCTCTCTCTCTCTCTCTCTCTCTCTCTCTCTCTCTCTCTCTCGTACTTTTTACACATTGTTAACGAGCCTTTGTCCCTGCTATAACCGATTGGGCTCCTTTGTCCTTGCTATAACCGATTGGGCTCCAATGAGGCTCTGTTATTGCCGATGACTTTTAATAGAGACAAAGAGTGGGGAAAAACGGGGATTTAAAAAATCCCTGTTATTACCTACCACGCCTGTTATATATGGTTTCCACAGTATAAAGAAACAGTGTCAGGCAGCTTCCCGTAAATAGGGCTTTCTTGGAAATGGCCATGTTTTACGGAAGATGATGTAGATATACTTTAATAATGATTCCAATTGTTCCTTTGTTTGTAAGCAGCTGGTGGGAGTGTGCCACTGGTAAGTCCTACTTCTTTACTTTCTCTCTCTTGTTCCTGTCTGTCTGTCTTACTTTTTCCCCCTGCTCTAAATGACCATTATCGTGTCAGTTTGCTTCTCTTTACTCAAGCAAACTCAAACAAACACACAAACAAACCATTATTTGATAACTAGGTGTAAAACTCATACACTTACTTTTTTACAGTACTAGTTTGTTAACTATGTAAAAAACTACAATCATATTCTGAAGGGAGAATGTTTAATGCTGCACCAAAAATGTAAGTGATTATAAAAGTATTTCTTTTCATTTTTTCATTCTCATTTCTGTGTAGATATTCAATAATATTGGCAAGAAAAGATTTTCACCCGTAATGGCTTTTTCGGCGAATTGATCGAAATGCAATGCTCTTCAAATTTGGAAAAAAAAATGTGTCAAAGGCAACTTGTAACATTAATTAAGGAATGTTTTCCCATGTTTGTCTTTGGTATCATTTGACATGCTGTGTGTAGCCTTGACCAGTACTGGTCCAGATTGTCCTCAATTAGTGGCTATGGAAAAAGAAAAACCTTTTTTCTCATCATATTGGTGAATAACAATTAACCATTTTTATTTATTTATCTATTTATTTATATGGTGGCATCAGAAAATCGGGTTCTCATCAAAATGATGAAACCAACAGCAAAGAGACTTTCCATTATGCCTCCGATGCTGATCAGGTGAGCATGATTAATGCCAGATAATGGCAAGTATGTCCAAGTCGTGGGCTGGATTAAGCAATTCCAAATATCTTGTAGGCCAAAGCAGGTGAGAATTGGGCAAATAATCGGTTGAAATGCACAAGGTCTCCGAAGTGAAACTAAAACAGACACTACAAAATATATATGTCATTCAAGGATATTTCGTACAACTAAAACATTATTAGATCTATTACTTCCAGCTGGCCAGATTTGTTTTAATGTTCAAGATGGGCAGCTTTATTGTTGTTTATTATCAGCTCACCGTAGACCACGTTCATACATTCATTGTTTATTACTGTGACAACTTTCAGGCTTGACTGGAATTGCTCGCGGATCGGATTTGCCTTGGCTTGATTTAATAATAATAATAATAGATAGCATTTGTATAGCGCATATCCCCGCTCAACAGCAGGCTCTATGCGCTTTACACTATATTATTACCCCAGCAGACCATAGAACACTCCGAAACATTCTCAGCTTCCCGGGAAGCATACAGTGCGAGCAGCCGATTAAGCGCTCAAACACTAACAAACTGACAAGATCTTTCGCTGTCTATAGCCGGGTACCCATTCCCACCTGGGTGAAGTGAGGAAAATTCGTGTAAAGTGCCTTTCCCAAGGACACAAGGTCGGGCCCCTGACGGGATTCCAACCCACGACCTTACGGTTGCGAGTCCGAGAGCCTAACCACTAGGCCACCGACGCCACCGATTTATGCCTTTGGAATCTCCAGCAGACATGTTCAGTAATATTCTGTTCTATTATGCTGATTTTCTATCCTAATTTAACTAATTTATAAGTTACACGTGTTTATCTCAGATTTCCCAGTAGATCATGTATGTTTATCAATAGAGAGCTGGATTATTTTCTTATATGTGTACAAAACGTGAATTCTAATAAAGTACTTACGGGTTTACTGAAATATTGCTGTTATAAACCCTTAGAGTAGAGCAGAAAAGTCTTCAGAAGGTTTGTTCGTTCATGTTTCTTGTATTATTGACTCTCTAATTTTTTAAAGGATATAATAATATATGTATTATATTATTGTGGTTATTGCCCCAGCTAATAGTTATTTGGAGATTTTGTTGCTCATAGACCTGATCATGTTTTTTAACTCTGCTTAATTTTGTGCCATTTATCATCAAATGCTCATTGTTAATGCTTCTTATGCTGTTTGTTTTATGTTTTAAATTGTGTTGATAAGTGGTCATTTGTACATGTCGGTTTTTTTTGGACAGGTGGTTGTTAGAGCAAGTTCGACTCTACATGTGTTAATGTGCTTTTCTCTCTTGAGATGGACGTGATAGGCTGTTCTGAGATGCTACAAGAAAGCCAAAGACGTGGGTCTTACCTCTTCACTTTTTGAAAAATATATTTGTTGTTGAGGTGGTGTCAGTAGCCTTGTTGTTAGGCTACTTGACCTGTAATTGAGAGATTGTAGGTGCAGGGGTTTGAGCCTCAGCTCATTCCAACGTTGTGTCCTTGGGAAAAGGCACTTTACACAAATTTCCTGTTTCGCTCAGTCTTTTCGGAGATGGACTTAAACTCAGAGGCTCTGCCTCATACATTTTAATAACCTAATGGTGTTGATAGCCTAATAGTGTTGATAGAGGTGTTAAACCTATACCGTTTTACATTTCACCAGGGTCGATTAGTGTTTTTCTTTTATTCTAAAAAGAGCACAGAGGACTTTGGAAAATCGGTATCATGTTTTTGAACATCGTTAGGGCGTGTCCCTATTTTTTAATGTCGATTTCTGTTGGGATTGCTCTTATGATTGTATCATAATGCTGTTATTTTGCGGACTGTGGTAAATGTTAACTCAAATAGTTACTATAAATACATTTGAACTAGGAATGAGTGTCCTGAATTGTGATTCTTTTTATAGTTCATGTCAGTTTGGTTTCCCTTTTTTTTTGTCTTCATCATTTTGGGAAGAATATTATTACAGAAAGGAAGTCTGCTTTTATCGTTCCTAGACTATATATGTGATATATAATATATGTCATTAATGAATCATGTTTGAAATGAATTAAATTATTCTATGTATGAAAATATTGTCCATGTATGCAGGCCTGCCAACCTTCCCGATTTTGTCAGGAATTTCCCGAATCAGATGCGTTGCTCCTGACTTCCCAATAACTGTCTTGATTTCCCAATTTCGGTGCCGCTCTATATCATAATATTGTTACAATTTATTGCGCGAGAGTGATGAATGAAATCGACAATACCAGAGCTCGTGAGTTACTTAGATATCCAGATTAGCCGCGTGCAACCTTTACTGTTTGGCGATTAGGCTACATATAATGCTCAAGTAAACCTGGCAACTGAATTTGTGCACTATGTTTTCTTGATCCCGACTCAGTGTTGCCTCGTTGTCCATAAACACGGAGATCATAAATACTGGTATTGGTATATGACCTGGCACGCTGCGTGCCACACTGGTTTTCCCTATTTTGTATTTTCAAAAGTTGGCAGGCCTGTGTATGCAATATTGTTGGCTGGATGAATACCGGTACTGGAAGTCTTTATCTCTAAATCCACAAAACTGTTGATAATTCACTTCTTGCAGGAAACTGTTGGGGTTATTCATGAAAAGATACTTTATACATTTCGTGTGACATCTGTAAAAAAACCGACTGCTTCATGAATTTTGTTTTATTGCATATATATATATATGTTATGACTAAAATTGTTTATTTGTCATACTAAAATTGTTTGTGCGGGTATCGCTGTTGAAAAATTGATCACATGTATGCTAAGATTGTTATGATAATTATAATGATTTGTTGAGTTGAAATTATTTTAAAGCGCTTGGAGCTGAATTATACAGGAATGGCGCGATAAAAATTATATACATTTTTGTTATTATCATTGTTATTATTATGAAATTATTGTTATTGTTATGCACATTGCATATTTTAAAAAGTGAAATTTTATGTCATTCCTTTTGTGTTGGCTTGACATGTCTACTTGATAAAGGTTCTCATGGTAGCCTATATATGAAATAACAAATGTAGCAAACTTGGACGAATCTTATTTTCCAATCATTATTTTGGGAATGTCAATTCTTGGGCTACAATGAGTTATAAATAGATGTTCCTGTAGTTTCTACCTCGAAAACAAAAGAACCATCACTACTGTAAATTTTGTACTGAAACTTTTTTTAAAGGGATGATTTATGCCTGACATATTGGCTCGGTAAAGAAAGTAAGTCACTGCAGGAAGTCAAGATACTTTACCGGTGTCTGTGGTGTAGCGATTAGGCCCTTCGCTGTTGCATGCAGGAAACAAGAGTTCAATTCCCAGTGTGGAAAAGATTTTTATCGAGTATGTCAGTCTTTCTGCTGGGACTTTGACGATCAGCCCACATTGGCCGTGACAGGCAGGGTCAGAAGCCCCCCTCTTATATGATCTAATCTGTTGCAATGCGGATGTAAAAAGGTAAGATCTAATCTGTTGCAATGCGGGTATAAAAAGGTCAGATCTAATCTGTTGCAATGCGGGTATAAAAAGGTAAGATCTAATCTGTTGCAATGCGGGTGTAAAAAGGTAAGATCTAATCTGTTGCAATGCGGGTATAAAAAGGTAAGATCTTATCTGTTGCAATGCGGGTATAAAAAGGTCAGATCTAATCTGTTGCAATGCGGGTGTAAAAAGGTCAGATCTAATCTGTTGCAATGCAGGTGTAAAAAGGTCAGATCTAATCTGTTGCAATGCAGGTGTAAAAAGGTCAGATCTAATCTGTTGCAATGCGTGTGTAAAAAGGTCAGATCTAATCTGTTGCAATGCGTGTGTAAAAAGGTCAGATCTAATCTGTTGCAATGCAGGTGTAAAAAAGTATACAAACAAACAAACAAACATTCAGGTTACTTTGAGCGTATGTGCATCTCATATTGTCAATGTCGCAAGAGTCCACTTAAGTGCGTTTGATTAATTTTTACGCAAGAGATTAATGACTAGTTTTTTATTGGTCCTATCAGGAATCATAAAATGCAAGGAAATTGTATGCCATGACCATAACATTCAAGTATATTTTGGTGGCGTTGAAAGGTGCATCTTTGTTAAAGCTTTGGAAGGGTGTAAAAATGTAAAATTCTCACAAATTATTGCTTGCGACAGTGACGATGTGCATTGTGTACTTTCAATGCATGTAGCCCCAACTCACAGGCCTTAAGTGCTTGGCTGTTGAAGACAGAGCAATCAGGCTGGGGTGTGTGGTAGAGTAGTAAATACACTCACTTCGTTATCCAGAAATGTAGGGTTATATTTTTTTTTAATGTTTTTTTATAAGTGAGATTCTGAAGAGCCCATAGTGTTTTATGTCTTTGGGCCGAATCAGAAAACACCGTCTCTGAGATGTAGAGTCTCTTACAGGGACAATGCACAGAGAGAGAGATTTTCAGGTATGAAGACTGCCTGATTCATTCTTCGATAAATAATCTTATCAACGAAGGTCAGAAGTGCATAGAAGATTCAATGGTCTATGGGTACTGGGGTTTCAGTCAAGAAAACAGTGTTAATTGATTCTGTCTATCTGTCTGTCTGTCTCTCTCTCTCTCTCTCTCTCACACACACACACACACACACACACACACACACACACAAACGGGCATTCGCCCAATATTCATCAAAAAATGATATATAAAACAAACAAAAAGCAAGAGTATCGGCACGAATTATTTACCTCATTTATGCAGGTGCTGGAGCGTACGTCTACATTACTATCTGTGGTGTGGAGGAAGAAGGAGTGAAAGAAGGAAGGGTTTGTTGTTTTTTGTGTGTTTTTTTGCTTTAGGAAGGGGAGAAAGAAGGATCAGAGGAAAGGAGAAGATATGCCAGCACGGACCAGGTTTGAATTCGTTACCTTTGGCATGAGAGGCGAGCCCCATGCCTCAAGGCCATGTTTCCCCACTTACCGTTACATAAAACATAATTGCATACAAAAGGTCATTCTGTATCTCATGGTCTGAGACATAATGTATCCCGCGTGCTACCTGCGCACGTTAAAGATCCTTTGGTGGTCCATAATTATAATATTAATACGGGGTGCCCACTACGGATGGGATCGGCCGAATTTCCTATCAAATGAAAAATGTTTAATGTGTCCCGCCCGCTCTTATGACCTAATGCATTTGGGAGCGACGTAAAATACTAGCCAAAAAAAAGACGTCATGTACTCTCTATAGATCTGTTAGAGGAGGGGACTGCGGGTGGTTGGAGGGCGCCACTGGTAGGTCGTACTTCTTTACTTTCTCCCGGTTGTTTCTGCAGGCCTGTCGAGAGGGGGGGG